TAAATTTTTTGGAGAACGTTTAGTTTATTAATATTCAAAATAAACTTATTTTCCGAATATTTGCAGCATGAATTCTGAAAATAAGTTTTTTATGAATTTTAATAAAGTAAACGTTCTCCAAAAAACTTTAGTGAGAAAAATCGAAAAAACGAACTACAAACAGAATTTTATCTTTTTATTATACTCACGTACTTGTGAATTCAAGTCGACTCAATGTATGTATATATATATATATATATATATATATATATATATATATATATATATATATATCACATATCCTAGGAAATACATTGGATTTAGTTGTCAGTTCGCATGATTTTCTAGTACTTAATGCTAAGATCTATTCTTGTGGAATAATTTCGGATCACAGTTTCATAAAAGTAGAAACAATGATTGTTCAGCCAGCCCCTAAAACAGTGATGAAATGTATATATAAATGTATGTATACTCAATGTATGTATATATATATATATATATATATATCAGTTAGGTCATGGAAAACAGTAGATAAGGGAAAATTCATTGGTGCTATTTTAACTTCACCAGTATCTAAACCATGCTGTAGTGATGACGTCGAAAAGGAACTAACAATGTTTAACAACGAGTTAAAGAGTATTGTTGATAGATTTGTGCCTGTTCGAGTAATCTATGATAGAGGTGAGCGTATGACACCATGGTTTGATCATGATTGTAAAAAAGCTAAACAAACATGTAGAACATTGGAAAGAATTTTCAGAAAACTGTCGACAGATGATCATCGTAATAATTGGATAACTTCAATGAAAGCAAGAAACAAATTATATTTTGATAAACGTTCAGATTATTGGAGGAATTTAATTGAGGTCAGCAAAAGCTCGAAAAATAAATGGCAGGCAATTAATAGGGTGTTGTGTAGAACATTCCAACTCACATCTTAGAAAAGTATTTGAAATTTTTCATCAAATTTCTCACCAGCTTTGTTAATTGCTTCCTTCGATCAGGTGAATTTTCCTCCTATTTCAGGCATGCTGTGGTTCTCGCCGTCTTGAAGAAAACAGATTGTGATGTAAATGATGTTAATAATTACAGACCAATATCGAATCTTCCATTCGTTTCAAAAATTATGAAACGTGTAGTGGTTAAAAGTTTCTTGAAGTTTTTATCTGAAAATAACCTACTGCCTTGTAATCAATCCGGTTATAGGCAGTTCCATTCTACTGAAACAGCATTGTTACAAGTTTTGTCTGGTTTGTTTTCGGCAATGGACGTCCAGAACTTATCGTTGTTATCGTTTTTAAACATGTCAGCAGCATTTGATTGTGTAAACCATGATGTTTTGCTGGCAAGACTACGTAACGATTATGGTATTACAGACACAGCTCATAAACGGTTCAGGTCGTATTTGACAAACCGAACACAGCAGGTTTCGTTTAACAATTCAGTGTCTGATATTGCCTTGGTCACAACAGTTGTGCCACAAGGTTCAGTTCTGGGACCAATTCTCTTTATTTTGTACACAGCAGATATAATCAAAATAATTTTCTCCCATGGATTCACTTGTCATGCGTTTGCCGACGACATTCTGGTTCTAGTCACTGGTCCTCCAGGTTCGTTTCGTGATGAGGTTGATAGATTTGTCCAGTGTTTGAAAGAGATAGAAATATTGGATGTCATCAAGAGAAGAGAAACATTGCATGTCATCAAACTCGCTCAAGCTCAATGAATGTAAAACGCAGTTGCTACCGGTGGGTACGTGGCAGCAGTTGTCAAAACTAGATTTCTGTTCTGTTGAGATGGGAGATATAAAGATATCATTATCTGCAACTGCATCAAATTTGGGAGTTTTACTTGATAGCAATTTATCGATGAAAGACTACATTAAGAAGATATATACATCAAGTAATATTTATTTAAGAAACATATATCGAATCAGACATTCATTGGATAGATCGGCACTGATGACGCTGATTCATGCTTTTATAACATCGCGAATTGACTACTGCAACAGTCCGTTTTATAAACTTCCAAGAAGGTTAATTGCTCTTCTTCAGTCGATTCAGAACAGGGCTGCAAAATTGATAACTGGCAGGATGAAGTTTGATCACGTGACGCCCATCCTGGAGGAACTACACATGTTGACAAAAGATAAGAGTAACCTTCAAAATCGCTGTACTTGTGTTTAAATCACTGAATGGGATGTCACCAGAATATCTCGTAAAAAAATTTTCAAAAAAAATGTCTGTGTCGTCTCATCTACGGTCAGATGATATAAATTTGTTGACAATACCGGTTTCACACTTGCAGATTGGTGCACGGAGTATCTCTGTTGCAGGTCCGACCGTGTGGAACAGCTTGCCACAGTCATTGCGATCATCCAGACCGTCTCTTAGAACATTTAAAAAAGAACTAAAAACATATTTGTTCACTGTTAAACTTTGATAATTTTAGTTAAGTTTTTTTTTTCTTATTAAAAGTATTGTAGATTTCTATGTTTATATAATTACGATTGCGCCTTTGAGAACATTTAATTGGCGCTATATAAGTTTCCTATTGATTGACTATTGATATATATATATATATATATATATATATATATATATGTATATATATATATATATATATATGCAATTATTGATGAAAATCACAGCATGTTCGGTGTTAGTTAACTTCCAATTTAACTTTTCAAAATTTTTGTTTGCTTTATGCATGATAGAACGGAAAAGCTTTTTTCGGCATTCCTTTACCATCTTCGTTGTTCAAATTGATATGCTGTGGTTTTGCCCAGATGATCAAATATTTTTATACTGTGCCTATTTATTGGTTCCTTGTTTATTCAAAGTGAATATTTAGTTTCACAATCTTCGTTAGAAAAATCGAAAAGTTAAAATAGAAGTTAACTAACGCCGAACATGCTGTGATTTTTATCAATAATTGCATTTTTGACAGTCTTAATCTTATATATATATATATATATATATATATATATATATATATATATATATATATATATATATATGTATATATATATTTAGATTCAATATATTCAGATTCAACTTATAGTAACAGTATGTCTCTATCGACCAAAATGGGTATCTGTGAATTACTTAAAAACACCTTGGTTTGCAATATTGTCTACCTAGATAATAATTATACAAAGATAGTGTTGAAACTCGTTGGTTACTGATAAGTCCCATAAGGGACAAAACGCGTCTAACCTAGAACGAGTTGGGTGTTCACAGTAGTACTGCACCTTTGGTCCTGGTGAGAGATGGTGTACTTTATGTACTCGTACTGGCTGACTATACTTGCGGGCGCAAGTTGAAAATTTTTACCCTATATATATATATATATATATATATATATAGGGTTAAAACTGTCGTAGATACAATTGTTATGATATATCACTCCATTTTCAGCTTTGTTCAGTTTCTGGTTTAATTTTTCAATATTTCGTATCGTATTTTATATTATATATATAAAAATATAAATATATATATATATATATATATATATATATATATATAATGATGATGAAGGGGGATGCATCCTCGCACCGCAGTTTCGTATTTTGTAGACTTCGGATTAATTGTAAATTGTGTTTTTCCTTAATACTTGTTTTAAAATCTAATTCAATTTCTTATCTTACATTTCTAGTTTTTCTGTTTTTTTTAGAATTAGCGACATGAAAGTGTCATTTATTTAAAAATAATCTCAAGATAAATTTGTGAGATAACTTTAATGGTTTCAACAGATAAGAGAACAATACAACTTGAAAAATTATCTTTCAATAATATCGTGAAAAGAGCATGTAACATAGCAACAATCTATATATAATAAAATGCAGCGCATTTTTCTTACCGTGAAGAATTAAATATGTATTCGTCAGCTATAACATTATTTGCATTAAGTGTTTATTTCCCGTGCTGTATTTTGTCATCATGTAAGTAAACTCTTCGTTATAACAACTTATCAATAACTGGAAAATTTATTGAAACTTACAGTAAAAAACAGCGGAGGAACAATTGATGGCAAAGAAAAATGGGCATACGTTGACGTGCGACCAGGAGCACACATGTTTTATTGGCTTTATCGGTCGTATCATAAAGATGACTACAAAACAAGACCACTAATTCTTTGGCTACAAGTATGTTATATTCTGATATTCTAAATGGTATTATAAATAATTAAAAAACACAAATTATAATAATGTTAATTAATTATTAGGCCATAATAAAAATATACAACTAGTGGACGAGTTAGATATATTGATAGAAGTGCTGTTTTTACGCTATGGCCTAATTAGTGTGCTGTCTTTCAGAAACTCAAAAACTAATATGCCATGCGCGTGTACGTGTACGTATGTCGTGTGGTTGGAATAGTACAGCTTTTTGAGGAACAAAAAGTTTAATTGTAAGTATAGAATTTCGTGCAGGCAGCTCTACGTTAGACAGAACTGCATAATAGAGAAAAAAGACTAAAGAGTAAAAGCTTGGTTGTTAAACTGAGTTTTTAGATGAATAATTTTGACAATATTGTTCCACTGTTTATTTTTCATTTTTTGTGTCATATCAGTTCTTTTCAACATTGCCAAAAGCACCTTTATCTTGCCACACGATTCAATTCTTTTTTAGCTTAGATGTTTCGGAACCATGAAGTTTGTCTTTTATACCACATGATTCAATTTTTTTTAGCTTAGATGTTTCGGAACCATGAAGTTTGTCTTTTATATACTTTTTGATTTTTTTTTCTGAGTGACAAGACGATATAGAAGAATGAACCTTTAGTATTTTTCAAAATGTAACCCATATTTATGGGTTTGCAAGTTTTTATTGCTATTGCTGCCAGTGTTTTGTTTTTTAATCTCGGAGTTGATAAGTACTTCAGCCTAAAGAAGTTTGAGCATTCATTTATAAATCCACATCCAGTATATTCATAACATCCATGCCCATGTTTTACTAGGGTTTTACTTTACTGTTTCACTTTATACTTACAATAATAATAATAATTTTAATAATAATTTTAACTTTAACTTTGGTTTCAAATCAGGAAAATCTTTTAAATTTAAGTTAAATATGTGGAAAATAACACTGGTAAATGCTCTTCCGGGCTGTTGCTCTATTAGAGCAGCCACCAACAAATCTAACTTATTTATTCTATTTTTTTTATTATGATAAAATTTATTAAAAATAAAATTGAGAAAATTAATCATGCTATTTCTATAAAATTTTAACGCCAAATAGTTTGGTTCCGTATTTGAGTCTTTAATTTGAAAAAATAATTTTTTTTAAACAATCTTGAAACAAAGTTTAAACTCTAATGTGATAAAAAATATTTTAATAATTATCTTGTTTGTTTAAATGTATGTACGTGCGTGTGCATTAATATATAGATATATAATAAGTAATAGAACTTGTTGAATTTCTAGTTTTAGATAATTTGCAATTTACCTTTTCAATTTTTCTAACCGTAATTTTATGCTTGGCGTTCAATTTATTACAGAATAATGTCCTATTTGCAGTGTTCTCTCAGTTATCTCCAACTGTATTTTTAACTTAAGTTATAGTTAACGGTAACTTTAACTATAAATGGTATAAAGTATATAAATAGTTTTAACTGTAACTAGACTGGCAGGTAAATAACTAACTTAACCATAACTCATTCAGTAAATCGACAACTCGATCGAAAGAAAACCTTGGTTGAGAAAATTAACAAATTATAATTGACATCCATTTGTATAATTGATAACATGGATTATTATAAATTTAAACAGTCACGTTTAATTTAAATGTTCATATGTTAACCACATTTAATGCCAGATAGTTTTGCTATTCATTTCAATTTTGTTATTCCTTTCAGTTTATTTTAAATTATGTCAATTCCCAGTAAAGCATATCGTTACAAGTACTACTTACTACTACAACTGCTATTATTATTATTATTATTACTACTACTACGACGCGACTACTACTACTACTATTACTACTACTACCATTCCCGGCGCCGGGAGGAAGGTATTAGAGGTTTGCAGCCCCTCGAAATAATTTTTACGTGGAAGTAATGAATTACATGATTAATAATAACAATGTGCCATTTATACAGCGCTCTATGCATACCGTTTGGAGCGCTCTTAATTTTTATAGCGCTCTTTTTTATGGGGCGCTTGATTGCGGTTGGCAAAAGTTCTAGATTTCTGCAGTCGCTACTAAAAATGCTTTGGATGTTTCAGAGTTTTCAAATTCAGAAAAAACAATTTGCTAATTAAATATTAATTTTATCAAATTTTAATTAAAAATAAAAAGTGAATAAAATTAAAATTTGATTCCTAAGCAATTATCAACAAAAAGAATTATAATAAAACAAGACATTAACAATGACAATAAAACTTGTTGAATTTCTAGTTTTAGATAATTTTTAGATAACATCAAAATCAATGACACCAATGAAATCAATAACGATTAACACACCGGCAAATACAAGCGTCATCACTGATCAACACACAAAGCCCCATTTTTAATTTTTTATAATTGAATATTTAAAGTTTAAAAAGGTAATTCTTGCTTTTGCGCTGGCTTCATAGGTATCAACGACGACAACACCCACAGCGCATATAAATAATCGCGAAAACCACGCATCATACACATTGCATATGATAGACAAGGATCTCTTCAGATTCGAACCCATTTCTTCACTAAATATGATTTACCGATCAAAATAGGCCCAACCTGCAAATATGAATTTGAATAATAATTTTTTCTTTAATTTTAATAAATTAAGTAGAAGCAAGTTAAGCAATTTAAATAGAACACTTGTCAAGTCAAACGTATTAAAATAAAGTTTTAAAAAATTATCCAATGCTAAAAAGCTGGTTAAATTTATCAAATATTGCATATAAAGGCGTAAGTGACATACGGGACTACCTGTTTTATAATATTTCTCATTTTCATAATTTTAGGCAATTTTATTCAATCCACCATTGTAATTTAATTTATTGTAAATCACCGTATGAATTCCTCTTTCTCGTGCCTTATCTTTTCAGAACATTGGTGACCATCGACCTCCATAAAACCCGATCTTTAACACTGTAGAAGTTGAAATGTGGTGATATTCAACAAGTGATACAAGGACTTCACGAATGTGATTTCCCTGCAATCTTTCCAGTAGTTGTTAAATTTTCCATTTTTTCTTTCCGCATGATTAGACCAAAAAACTTTAACTGCCCCCGTCGGATTATCTGTAGTAATTTCCTCTTTTCATAACCCGACTTTTTTAGCATATTCTCATTTGAAGTATGAGAGGTCCAAATAATTTTCATAAATCTTCTAAAAAACCACATTTCAGTAGCATTAATCTTTTTTTCCATTTCTTTAAAAATTGTCCAGGCTTTAGAGCCGTAAGTTAGCACAGGAAAAATGTAGCACCCTAAAAGTTTTAATTTTGTTGATATTCTAATTTTAATGTTGGTGAGGATGTTTTTCATTGTAGAATATGCATTTTTCGCCATAGCTATTCTTCTTTTGATATCCATATAACATTTACAACCAGGTAATCAGATTTCCAAGATAATTAAAGCTGTTGACTTGTTTCACCTGTTTACCATTAATGATTATGAAGAAGATTGGGGCGGTTTTGTTTTTACTGATAACCACGCACTCTATTATGTTGATGTTAATTTGCAAGCCTTTCTTTTCACTTTCAAAAACCAGTTGGAAACAATTGCTTGCAGTTTTTTCATTGAATCTGCTATAAGAGCTGTATCATCAGCATATCTTACATTGTTAATATTCACGCTTTCAATAAATATTCCAGGTATATCTTCTATCTTTCTCATGATGATCTTACTATAAAAATTGTACAGGTCTGGAGGGAATACAGAGAATACTTTACACAGCCTTGCCTAACACCTTTCTTTATTTTGACAAAACTAGTCATCTTGTTACTAACTTTCAATGCTGCTCTTTGTTCACGATAGAGGTTTTTGATAACTCGTGTCTTTTCCATTATTGTCCAAATTTTCCAATATTTCCATAAGCTCCACGTGTTTCACACTATCAAAAGCTTTTGAAAAATTGACAAAACATATAAACAAATCTTTCTTCATTTCAATCGCTCGTTCACTGGTTATTCGTAGCATAAAGATAACGTTTCTTGTTCCACAATCCTTGTGGCCATTCGAACACAATAATTATATAACATAACATAAACAGAAAATAGAGAGGCGTGAACTGACGTTCCTATGCCTTCAGCAAATGAAAAGCTTCCATTGTATTTTAAAAATTATAAAATAAATAAATGAAGTAAAATAAAATACAGTTGGATGAAAATACAGATTGTTAATGATAAATGTCTATGTATACATATATATATATGTACTTGTACATACATACACATATATACACACACTCACACACGCGTCAGCCCACACACACACACACACACACACACACACACACACACACACACACACACACATACACATTATCCACAAAGATGTCAAAGATAATATAAATATATAAACTATGACATTGTGCCAAGCGAGGATCTCCAGTTGAACATCATGTCCGTAGAATTCATGTGTCGATCCAACTTCATTTTAAATGTTTCAACATCTTTAGCCATCACAATGTCCGTATCCAAGCCGTTCCATAGCTCAACTACCCTATTGGAAAAACAAAATTTCCCATGATTCGTGTTAAAACTATGAGTAGATAACTTGAACGGATGACCCCTGGTACGATCATCGTTAGGTTTTTTAACACAGGATAACACGATGATAATACGCTGTTCCTAGTTATGTTGAAAACTGTGATAAGATCACATCTGATTCGTCTATACCTCAGTGTGGGAAGATCGAGGAGTCTTAATCTCTGCTCATAATTGAGTCCAATACAATCTTTCACCATTCTTGTGGCCCTCTTCTGAATCCGTTCAATATCTTCTATAACTTTCAAAGACCAGGGAGACCACACCGAAGCAGCATACTCTATCTTTGACTTGACAAGAGATTTATATAAGATTAAAAAAGTGGGTTTAGGTAATTTCATAAAATGTGTATTATCAATCCTAGAGTTATATTACACTTATTAATTGTATTATAAATGTGTTTATGAAATTTCATGTCTGGTTCAAATATCACCCCCAAATCTTTAACAAATTCCACATTTTCAAGAAGTAAACAATTCATAGTATAAGATCTCTTACCACATGCTCTACGCCCATAATTCATAACGACACATTTATCCACATTCACCCAAAGCTCCCATTTCACACACCACCCATAAAAACCATCCAGACATGCCTGAAGAGCCTCCATATCATCATTAGAAGAGATACACTTGAACAATTTAGCGTCATCAGCATATAGATACATCTCAACATTAGAATCATTCTTACATAAATAAAAAATATCATTCACATAAATAACAAACAAAATTGGTCCCAACACACTGCCCTATGGAACCCCACTAATCACTTTAAAATTATCAGACAGACTTTCATTCACACACACTGCAAATGTTCTACCACTAAGATAACCAGAAATCCAATCAACCACAATCCCATTCACACCATATTCGCATAATTTTTTAATTAACTTGTGATGAGGAACTTTATCGAATGCTTTCTCAAAGTCTGTATAAATCACATTAATTTCCTTGCCTCCATCAATCACAACACTCCAGTCATCCACCATTTTCAGCAACTGCATCGCAGCTAATTTATGTGGCATAAACCCAAACTGTCTAAAATCAATTAAATTATTGCTAATAAGATTATCTTTGACCAATGTTTCCATCACCTTACAACAAACACAACAAAGAGATATTGGTCTATAAATTGTTATTTTGCAGACATCTCCTTTTTTATAAACTGGCACTATTATACTGTGTCTCCATTCATCAGGTACCATACGAAGCTTTAATGACATATTAAATAAGCTACATAAAAAATGTGCAATCTCTTCACTACATTCATATAATACTCTGCTGAATAATTTGTCTGGCCCAGCTGATTTATACTTATAAATTTTTTTAAGTTTAGATAAAACTTCCTTAACTGTAACAGTTATATCGTCCACCGATGAAGTATAATACCTACTACCCATATTAGTATCATTAACATCATTCACAGATAAATTGAATACACTATAAAAGTTTTGCCCAAATAGATTAGCCTTTTCAGTGTCATCATAAACATTCAAAACCTTGCCCTGACCATCCAACTTATGAAGGACATCAATATCCCCTTTATTTTTTCTGGCTTTATTAATGTGCTGCCAGAACACTTATGGATTGTCTTTTATTTTTCTTGAAAAATTAATCATAAAATTAGTATTAAATTGAAAAATATTTTTTTAAATATCATTTTTTATTTTTTTATAATCATTAAAGATTATACAACTTTTAGAAGTGACATATTTTTTCTATAATCTATTTTTATATTGAATCAGATTTATAAAGTTTCTGGGAAATTTTAATGCAAATCCATTATTATGACACCCAAAATCAATTAAAGGAATAAATTTATTTGTAGCATCGTTCAGTACAGTACAGAAGTACCTCCAGGCTTCATTGAGTTTCACAACATTATAAACTTGTTTAAATACACACATTTCTTTACTTAATTCAGTTCTAACATAAACTCTCATCTTATCATACTCACCTTTGTTAAAATTATATTTTTGCTTGGTCCGTTTTCTAACTAAATTCCAAGTATGTCTCAATATGAAGACCAGAACAATATGATCACTATTCCCAATTGGGGAGTTATAATTGATGTAGGCAACCACATCCTTGTCATGAACCAGAATCAAGTCCAATATATTGGATTTTTGTGAAGTACGAAACCTAGTAGCTTTAGAAACCAGCTGATGTAAATACAGATCCCTCACACAATTCAAAAACCTAGATTCTATGCTCCTTACACCTCCTGGTGTTGACACCAAGTCCCAGTCAATATTAGATAAATTAAAATTACCCACGTAAATTTTTAGTCCCTTAATTTTCGAAAACTTTGCACAAACGGTAAAAATAACAGGAGGTAATTTAAAAATATGAATAACAGGTTAACAGTATTTTTTAATAAAACAAATTCTTATATATTTCAACATTTTGGTTTATTTCGGTTCTTCTTTTTCAATCAAAATTTTTATTTCTAATTTCTATTTTACTAAAACTAAGAAAAAATTGGGGTTTAAAAATTCTTATGGGAACATAATGTCTATTGTTAGTTTTTCCAAATTTTTGTTTATTCGTTTAAATCCTGTTTGGTGATTCAAGAAATTTTGGATAAAACCAAAATTTGGATTTTATATTAACAATTTGCAATTTATTTATTTTTATTGATTAGGGTGGTCCAGGCGGGTCTTCGTGTGGTTATGGAAATTTTGATATAATTGGGCCACTAGATTCAAATTTAAAAGAAAGAAATACGTCATGGGTTCGATTTACAATTTGAATTTTTTAAATTGTAACTGATTTGGAAAAATATACTCAAGATATATGAAGCTAATCTGCTCTTTGTCGACAACCCAGTTGGCGCTGGTTACAGTTATGTTGATAACAAAACACTTTTTACCACTGATGTTGCTCAAATAAGCAAAGATTTATTAACGCTATTAAAATCATTCCTGCAAAGTAATCCAGAATACAAAGTAAATTATTTCAAAAATAATGCTATAAAATTTTTTATCAATAACTTGATATTTTTCAGAATATTAGATTTTATATTTTTGGTCAATCATATGGAGGGAAGATGGGAGCTCATTTTTCTAAAGTTTTATATGAAGTTGAAATTATTTCCATATTATTACTAATTTCCTACACTTGTTAAACTATATTTATTTTATTACCAGGAAATACAAGCTAAAAAAATAGAATGCAACTTAGTTGGCTATGCAATGGGCAATTCTTGGATTTCTCCTATAGACTCAACATTAACTTGGGGACCGTTCATTTATTGGATGGTTAATTTTTTTTAGAAATTTAAACTATTGTTTCTCTGTTGTTACTTAATATGTCATTCGCATCGTTTTGCTACCCTAATTTATTTAGGATGCTGAAAACCTGAAAGTTTACGGAATAAATATATATTTTTTTTATTCAAACACCTTATCTGTTAAGTTAAAATTTACTGCCAGTACTGTCGAGTTAATGAAAGTTCCCAGTTAATTTTTATGTTGTCTGCAAAACTCAAAGACTATCATATTGCAACCCTTGCGGTCGTTTTGTGTGAACAACTATTTTGTGCGTTGTAGCACGGTTCTCTGACACCTCATCATTGCATCATTGCAACATTTCATCATTATAGCAATTCATCATTGCACATTTTAACATTATAGCAATTTATCATTATAGCAATTCATCACCATAACATTTCATCATTGCATAAAGTGCATTTAAACCGTATGTGGAGGAAAATCCCGATGAAGTAGATAGATGGATGGAAGCGAATCGTGCTTATTTTATTTTTTAAACTATTTACCAATTTTTATTTTTTGGTGTGTGGATGATTTTATGAAAAAATTAATATTTAACCTTAAAAAAATGAAAATATAATGGTAAGGTTATTTATTTATATCCAATATCGATACGATAGACGTTCTGTTGCTGATGGTCGCCAATACAATTTCAATGGGCATTGTGCTTAGCAATTTGCCCATTGAATTTATATTGGCGATCGCCGAGCGCTTCATAATTTACATGGGCAACTACTTACCAATTGCCTAGTGAGAAAATGTGCCACAGTGACCAAATCATTTAAATTAACTTTTACCTTTAAATTAAATAATAATTGTCTAGATTAACTACTATAGCTAAGAATGTGGGCACTGCTACTCTGTACCTAGGGTATATCAAATCATGATCTGATAAGAAATTACTTTGCCAGTTTTTCTGTGATCTTAAAATCGCATAAGATCTTGTGAACTTAAGATCACATTAGTGATGAAATATTATGGTGATGAACTACTATAATGATGAATTGCTATAATGTTGAAATGTTCAATGATGAATTGCTATGGTGATAAAATGTTGCAATCCAGCAATGTTTCCTTTTGATAGTATAGGGTCTTGGTTGTTTCACTATTCTTTTTTAACTTCAGGCGCGTGTATTGGGGGGATGCTGTTTAACCGCTGATGGAAATTGTTATTAATTATAGGGTCTCAGTTGGTACGCCATATTTATTATCAGCTGTGTTTCTTATTGTATTTCCAAAAAGGATCTTTGAGAGTCTCCCCTGTAGTTGTGTGGATGACACTTCGATATGCATAATCCGACCGGTAGTATGTAGCTAATCCGAGGAAACTGCGCAAATCATTTTTATCTTTCGAAGGTGGCCAATTTTTTTACGCTGCATAATCCGTTCGGTAGTATGTAGCTAATCCGAGGAAACTGCGCAAATCATTTTTATCTTTCGAATGTGGCCAATTTTTTTTTTACCATTTTCACGTTACTTGGATCTGTCTTCACTCCAATGGAAAATATGACATGTCCCAAGTAATTCATTTCGTTCGCAAACAATTTGCACTTTTTAACATTTAGCTTTAACTTTGCTGCTCGAAGTTTCAAAAATATATCTCGTAAATTTTTGACATGCTAGTTGAACGACTTTCTTAAAACAATTATGTCGTCTAAGTAGACAAGACATGTTTTCCAGGTGAGGCCTCGTAATTCGCATTATATTAGTTGTTCAAACGTAGTTGGAGCATTGCACAGTCCAAACGGCATTACAGTAAATTGCCACAAGCCTGATCCGATTGAAAATACGTTTTTTCACGGTCGTTTTCCTCGATCTCTACTTGCCAATATCCGCTTTTCAAGTCTAACGTGGAGAACCAGTGTGAACCGGACAACGTGTCCATGATTTCATCTATTCTCGGTAGTGTATAACTATCTTTTTTTGTCACTTTGTTTAGCTTTTGGTAGTCCACACAAAAGCGGTGCTGCTGTCTTTTTTCTTTACTAGGACAACTAGCAAGGTCCAAGGACTAGTTAACGGTTCGATGACACCTTGGTTTTGCATTGTAATTATCATCTCGTTTACCTCTTTTTGTTTTGCTAGTGGATGACAGCGTGGTACTTGTCTGATTGGCTTCGAGTACTGAGTATCGATTCGATGAGTAAAAGGCCCGTTTTTCATTGATTATCGTCTCCAGTTGAAAATACATCTGCTAAATCTGCTCTCAATTTTTTGGCTTTTGATTTATCTTCCTGTTGCAAAATGAGTTCACCTAATAGACCCTCTTTATGTTTTTCAAAATTATCCTTATCGACTAGTCGACCATTATTCTGATGTTGTATATTAAATGACTTCACGATATTACAGATTGACAAAAGCCTATTTCTTGGTCTTTTTTATTGTAATACCCAAACTGGAACATAGCCATTTTCTCTTGCTTTTACGAAATTTTTTCCAATAACAATGTTGTCAATTTCCATCGTCGCCGTTGGTTCAACCAGGTAGAATTGGTGGTCCCCAGTATCGCCAATTAGTTTTGCCCATATAATGTATTCTAATGATTCAGATACTCCAGTGTCACGAATACATTATCAATGTCGATCGTTATACGAATACATTTCACATCGCTGGATCCCATTACTACCCCCATATTTTTCACCTAAGGACTCGTTTTTCTAAATCAATTTTAAAACCATGTTTTGTTAAAAAATAAACGCCTATTATGCATTTGTCAGTGATATCTGCTATTAAGAATAAGCCCTCGAATTCTAAATCGCCTAGTTGAACAGTGTAGGAAATTTTTTCGTAGACGGGCGTTCTTCCTTCTGCAGCTGTTTGAAGAATGTTTTTATGAACATTTTCTCTTTTTAGATTGTGTACTAGATTGGATCCTAAAATTGACCTCGTTGCTCCCGTGTTGATCGAAATTGAACATTTTTTTGAACCAACTTTGCCATCCGACCAAAGGTCGTATTGACTTCGATGCAGCCTAGAGACTTTAATAACGGTACTGGCGGCGTCAATTCTACCAGCCAGCTTTTGCCCCGCAAAATTGGCTCTTATTTGTTTCCTGCCTCCTTGTTTGAGGCAGTCGGTCGTGACATGGGGTCACCATTTAACCGTTTGTGCCATGTTACTGCACATTGACGACAGTAATTGTTTCTAGGGCGTTGCTTACAATCTTGTTGTAGATGTCCTTTTTTAACTCAATTCCAGCATTTTGGCGCACCATAACTCTGACCCTTCTGTTCTAGAACCATCTTTTGACATGAACATTGTTCACAAATTTGTCGCAGTTTTACGTCAGTCTTTATAGCTTGCTTTGCTGACTCGAATGTAATACTTGAAGCAACGGCGTCTTTGAGGTTGCGTTTGTCCGCTAGTATAAGAGTTTGTTTAAGATCTGAATCTCGAACAGTCTCTGCAAACGTGTCCAATGCAGTTTATTTTCTGTGTTGTGGATGTGTTGTGTGTATGACAGCTAAGTCAACCGTTCAATATCCTGTGCCAGCTGATGTATTGACTCTCAAGGTCGCTGCTTCCGGTTTCGTAACTGGGACAAATATATTTGCTTCATGTGTTCTTCACCATAACGTAAATTCGACGCATTTACCAGAACTTCATAGTTGGAATGGTTTTCGACTAGAATCGTTTGGAGAACTTCTGCTGCTGACCCTCGTAACGCTACCGCTCTCTTTTATTCCAGCCATAATTCATTGCTTCTGCTTTAAACTGAGCTTTATAAATGTTCCAAAATGTTTCTCCGTCGAATGCTGGCGCTTTCAATGTCTTCGCGGTCACGTGGCTTACAGATGTAGAGTTTATTTTCTTAGTTTCTTTCAGTTTTTGTTTAAGTTTATCCACTTCGCAAGATAACTTCTGTTCGAGCCCGATAACCTTTTGATCAAATTTTGACGTGACGTCTTCTATTTTTGCATTGATTACTGCTGATTGCTGTTCAGCTTTGACATCGAATTGTTCTCTGAGTTCTCTCAACTGTTGTATCATTTTAGCATCAATCGCGGCCAACTGTTCTTCAATTTTGGCAACAATTTGATCTCTCGTCTGTTCAATTTTTCATCAATTTGATCTCTCGTCTATTTTATTTCTGCTGATTGCTGTTCAATTTTTGGAAATTGTTGTTTTATTTCTGATGATATTGTTTGAAGCAGAGCCATCAATGCGGTGTTTGCCACAGTATCTACAACTGCATTCAATTCGACATCCTGATCGCCGAACTCGAAGTCATCTGGGTTCTTGGATCCGCTAGTCGTGCTATCATTGCTCCTCTGTTTCCACCTTTGAGTTGCACCAATTTAAGTTGATAGATTTTTGCATTTTGTATTTAAAATTTTCAACAACGATGCTCACTTATTTTCCACCGAAGATCCCACATCTGACACCAATGTTACAACTGGCCAATTGACGACGAGTTCATTTAATTCCAGTGGAAAATAGTGACACGAAATAACTTCTAAATTATCAATTTATTTATTTGCAAAACAATAATTAATAAATTAATTTGTCAATAATCAACGTCAATTAATTTTACTAATAAAAGTTATTGTCCATAAACTATCAAATTAACGTTTAAAAACTATCGTTTTCCGAATAGCAATTCATTAACCTTAACATTTATCACATATACAATAAAACACAACGCAGTCAATTATCAAATATCAGTTTCGACACTAACAATCAATCGCTTTCTAAATTCAAATATTCAACAACAACCATTCAATATCTCGCATGCCTTTATATACCTGTTTTACCAACCCTTCTCGAATGTCCCAGATATCTCGCTGTTCAATCTAATTCCTTCTCGAACTATATGCGTTCGAGCAACACCAGCCCTTTTGCGAATATATTTACGACGGTTATAACAAGACTATAAAAGAATGTTTTTGTATCAGTATCATTAATTAATATTACATTTAAATTATTATCACAACGATTTATATGTTTCATATTAAAATTACTCTCATTAATATCACGAATACACTTGTATACTTTGCATTTTTCGATCAACTTTAAATTTATTTTAAAATACAACTGTATATATCAATAGGTTAATTAATATCTTACCTGAATCTAAATTTCTTTATTTTACTCATAGGTTTCGTAGCCTTTTTTTGATTCTAGCATGTTTCTTTCTTTTCAAATTATTGTGTTGCTAAAAATTCTTACTTTCATCTACGTAGAATAAAATTTTTTCACCTTTCCTTGATGATCCTTATACTCTTCTCTTATTTCATATTTCATTAGTTTCACTAGGATTGACTGGTTTTCATAGTTCTATACTGTACTCTTTAAGTAAAGATTTTAACTCTGCGGCTTGTCCGGTTCCTCGTGCCCCTAATCTTTTCTCATAAATAATCTCTCTAACTTGTTCTTTCACACTGGCTACCTGTAAAATATAGAACAATTTTTAAACTGTGCACATTAATATACAAGTCTCAATCTATTAATAAATTATCTTCTATCAGATGTATTAAATATAAACCTAAATGCCCGATTTATGATCGTTTTCTCGTTCTCACTTTTTATTAATTCCTGTTAAACACGTTTACGCTAAATCTGTTTTTGCTTTTTTGGTCCTTTTCTCTGGAGTTCTCTACCTTCTTCTCTAACTACTTCCCCATCGCTTATGAAGTTCAGAGCCAATCTTTATAAAAGTCATTGGGAACGTTGTTGAACGTTGCGGAAATGGCTTTCAAATAAAATTGATTGATCGATTAATTTTTAAACTGTCTATTTAATTATAAAAAGTTATAGAGTTTCTTTATATTTTCTATTTTTGTTTACTAATTAAATTATATATGATGATTCATCGACTTCAAAACCATTCCAATTTTTAAAATTAAAAAAAATATTTTTTGAAGATATTTATACTTTTTTCTTATTCGTCAAATCACAAAAGCATGGAATTGTAAACAGAAATTACCCTATTTTATCGTATCTCTCCTATTATACTCTCCACGAGCAGTTAAAACCAAAACTGCTTGCTCGCTTGATTGTGGACAGTAAAATGACTGGTAGACCATCCCACTACTTACAATAGTTGTTAGCTTCAGCAAACAAAATAGGCGGTGGTTGAGTTTTGTACTTTCATTGTTGTTAGCATTTCTTTTTTAGTAACCTCGTTTAACATGTCTTCGCTCCCCAGCGTTGTTGGTCTGTTCTACACCATGAGTAAATTTTTTGTACACTCTTACTGATCTTATCTAAATTGTTGAGTAACAGCCCGTTCTTGTCCTCGATTGACATTACACCTCCGTATTTTGTTTTCTTAGATAGATTTTTCACCCTTTTATAGATCTAATCATATTTGTTTCTTTTCTTCAATTTTTCTAGCTCGTCCCATTATTTTGTCTCCGACATTTTTTTGCTTGATCTGTTGCTCTTTGTATTTTGTTCTTCAATAGTCAGCATCCTTCTTCTTTTATTTTTTTTTCCAGTGATTTGATGATTCCATTTTTTTCTTTTATTCATAGATTCATTAATACTAACAACAGATTTGGCTGTTTAACACAATTCCTTTGTTTGTCATTTTACCGCTTTAATAATTTGTGTAGCCTTCGCAGTTTTTGTACTTGAATCCAAAATAATAGCAATTTTACATATTTCTTATTTTTAAAATCTTTCATCCACGTTTTAAAAACTATTTGATTTTATCACAATCACATGAAATTCAGCTGATTTTTATTTTGTATTTCATCAGTAGTAAAAAGCTTATTGAAGAGTCATTAGAAATCAGGAGATGTGTTGTACAAATTCAGCACGTTATAATCGCACACCATATATATTTGCCTTTGCGTTATAAAAAAGCAAATAGCATGGGAATAAGTATATTGCTTTAAGAGGTAATTATTATATGAACTGCTAAGGGGCTTTTAGTATATTTTTGCTAGGAAATAATTAGCATTTATGCTGTTAAGGGATCGCATTTTTATCAGCAGTTTTTAACTACTTTGTTATTTATATTTATCTTACACAGAAAAAGTTTTTTTTTACCGCAAAGCTCGTTGATACTTCTGCAGCAAACGCAAAGGAGAGAATGGTCTTTAGCTTTTAACCTTTAATATATATATATATATATATATATATATATATATATATATATATATATATATAGATATATATATATATATATATATATATATATATATATATATATATATATATATATATACATATATATATATATACATATATATATATATA